GGACCACTTAAGGGAGCTGTAGGACGATGTGAAACGTAACAATATTAGAATAGTAGGTGTGCCAGAAGAGGCAGAAAGGGATAGAGAAGGTGTTTGAAAAATAATGGTAGAAAACTTCCCTAACCTGGTAAAGGAAAAAGTCACACAAGTTCAGGAGGCACAGAGAACTCCGAACAAGAAGAACCCAAACAGACCCATACCCAGACACATCATAATTAAAATGTCAAAAATTAAAGACAGAATCTTAAAGGCAGCAAGAGAAAAGAAAACTGTTACCTACAAGGGAGTTCCTATAAGGCTGACACCTGATTTCTCATCAGAAACTCCATAGGCCAGAAGGGAATGGCATGAAGTTCTCAAGGTAATGGAAAGCAAGGATCTGAGACCAAGGTTACTATATCCAGCAAGGTTATCATTCAAAATAGGCGGTCAAATAAAGACCTTCCCAGACCAAAAAAAAAGGCTAAAGGAGTTCATCACCACCAAGCCAGCATTACAAGAAATGCTAAAGGGGTTGCTATAAGGGATTGCTGAGAAGAAAACAGAGAGAGAAACCTAGCCATGCAGAATTAAAATGGCTATAAATAAGTACTTCTCAATAATAACCCTAAATGTAAATGGATTAAATGCTCCAATCAAAAGGGGTAGGGTAGCTGAATGGATACAAAAACATGACCTAACTGTATGCTGTCTACAGGAGACCCACCTCAAAACAAAAGACACACACAGGATGAAAGCAAAGGGATGGAAAAAAATTTCCCATGCAAATGGAAAAGAAAATAAAGCTGGAATAGCAATACTCATATCCAACAAAATAGACTTTAAAATGAAGACCATCACAAGAGACAACAAAGGTCACTACATAATACTAAAGGGATCCATCCAACAAGAGGATTTATTCACCCAATATAGGTGCACCTAAATATATATAAAAAAAAAACTTCTAGAGGACTTTAACGGAGAGACTGACAACGATACAGTCATAGTAGGGGACTTTAACACCCCTCTGACTTCCGTGGACAGATCTTCCAGACAAAAACTCTACAAGGAAAAAGAGACTCTAAAGGACACGCTGGATCAGATAGATTCAATAGACATTTATAGAACATTTCACCCCAACACAGCAGAATATACATTCTTCTCAAGTGCACATGGATCATTCACAAAGACAGACCAGGTTACACAACAAAACAAATCTCTATAAGTTCAAGAAGACTGAAATCATATCAAGCATCTTCTCAGATCACAGTGGAATGAAATTAGAAATCAACTACAGTAAAAACACCCAAAACATTCAAAAACATGGAGGCTAAATAGCTTGTTATTAAACAATGAATGGATTATCAATGAGATCAAGAAAGAAATCAAAAACTTCCTGGAAACAAATGAAAATGAACACACAACAACCCAAAATCTCTGGAACACAGCAAAAGCAGTCCTGAGAGGGAAGTTCATAGCACTATAGCCATACCTCAAAAAACAAGAAAAATCAGTAATAAATATTTAACTCTACAACTTAAAGAACTAGAAAGAAAACAAGAAAATCCCAGAGTAAATGGAAGGATGGAAATAATAAAGATTACAGCAGAAATAAATAACACAGAGACTAAAAATCAATGAAACCAAGAGCTGGTTCTTTGAAAGGATAAACAAAATTGATAAACCATTAGCCAGACTCATTAAGAAACAATTAAATAAAATCAGAAACTAAAGTGGAGAAGTAACCACGGACACTACAGAAATACAAAGGATTGTAAGAAAATTCTATGAATAACTATATGCCAACAAGCTGGACAATGTGGATGAAATAGATAAATTCCTAGAAAATTACAATCTCCCAAAAATTGAATCAGGAAGAATCAAAAAACCTGAATAGGCCAATAACAACCGATGAAATAGAAGCAGTAATCAAAAAACTCCCACCAAACAGAAGTCCAGGTCCAGAGGGCTTCATAGGGGAGTTCTTCCAAACATTCAAAGAAGAAGTATCACCTATACTCTCAAGCTATTTCAGAAAATTCAAGAGGAAGAAACACTTCCAAACTCTTTTTATGAGGCCAGCATTATCCTAACTCCAAAATCAGATAAAGACACTACAAAGAAAGAGAGTTACAGGCCAATATCCCTGATGAACATAGATGCTAAAATCCTCAACAAAATATTAGCAAATCGCATCCAGCAATATAGATCATACACCATGATCAAGTGGGATTTATTCCAGGGATGCAAGGCTGGTACAATATTCACAAATCAATAAACGTGATACATCACATAAACAAATTGAAAGAAAACACAGGATTATCAATAGATGCAGAAGAAGCATTCAACAAAATCCAACACCCATTTTTTGATAAAAACTCTCAGCAAAGTTGGAATAGAGGGAGCATATCTAACCATGATAAAGGCCATATGTGACAAACCTACAACCAACAACATACTCAATGGGCAAAAACTAAAACCATTTCCCCTAAGAACAGGAACCAGACAGGGATGCCCACTTTCACCACTCCTGTTCAACATAGTACTTGAAATGCTAGCCAAAGCGATCAGACAAGAAGAAGAAATAAAAGGCATCTAAATTGGAAAAGAAGAAGTAAAATTGTCATTATTTGCAGATGACATAATATTGTACATAGAAAACCCCAAAGACTCCATCAAAAAACTACTAGAACTAATAAATGAATTTGGCAATGTACCAGGATACAAAATCAACACCCAGAAATCTATGACTTTTTTTATATACCAATCAAAATCACAGAAAGAGAAACTGAAAAAAAAAATCCCATTTACCATTGCACAAAAAAAAAAAATTAAGATACCTAGGAATAAACTTAACTAAGGAGGTAAAAGACCTATACTCGGAAAACTACAAGACTTTGAAAAAAAGAGGTAGAGGAAAACATAAACAAATGGAAGAATATACTGTGTTCATGGATTGGTAGAATCGACACCACTAAAATGTCCATACTACCCAAAGCAATCTATAGATTCAATGCACTCCCCATTAAAATACCAACGGCTTATTTCACAGACCTAGAACAAACTCTCCAAAAATTCATCTGGAATAAAAAAAGACCCCGAATAGCTGCAGCAATCCTGTGAAATAAGAGCAAAATTGGAGGGATCACAATACCAGATATCAAGCTATATTACAAAGCCACAGTTCTCAAAACTGCCTGGTATTGGCACAAGAACAGACATATAGACCAATGGAACCAGAGAACTCAGAAATCGACCTAACCCATTAGGCTCAATTAATATTTGACAGAAGAGGCAAGAGCATACAATGGAGTCAAGATAGTCTTTTCAATAAATGGTGTTGGGAAATTTGGTCAGATACATGCAAAAAAATGAAACTAGACCACCACCTTACACCATATACAAAAATAAACTCAAAATGGATAAAGGACTTAAACGTAAGAAGGGAAACCATAAAAATCTTAGAATCCATAAGCAGCAAAAACAGCAGACATATGTCGTAGCAATATCTTTACCGATACAGCTCCTAGGGCAATGGAAACTAAAGAGAAAATAAACAAATGGGACTACATCAAAATAAAAACCTTCTGCACAGCAATAGAAACCATGAACAAAACAAGAAAGCCCACTGCATGGAGAACATATTTGCCAATGTTATCTCTGATAAGGGTTTAATCACCAAAATTTATAGGGAACTCATACTACTTAACAAAAGGAAGACAAGCAATCCAATCAAAAAATGGGCAAAGGACCTAAATCGACACTTTTTAAAACAGGACCATAAAGAAGGTCAAGAGATATATGAAAATATGCTCAGAGTCACTAATCATCCGAGAAATGCAAATCAAAACGATACCTGTCAGAATGGCTATCATCAACAAATCAACAAATGACAAGTGCTGGAGAGGATGTGGAGAAAAAGGAACCCTTGTGCACTGGTGGTGGGAATGCAGACTGGTGCAGCCACTGTGGAAAACAGTATGGAGTTTCCTCAAAAAACTAAAAATGGAACTCCCATTTGACCCAGTTATCCCACTTCTAGGAATATATCCCAAGAAAACGGAAACTCCAATCAGAAAGGATATAAGCACCCCTATGTTCAGAGCAGCACAATTCACCAGAGCGAAGATTTGAAAACAACCTAAGTGCCCATCAGCAGATGAGTGGATTAGAAAACTGTGGTACATCTACACAATGGAATACTACGCTGCTATAAAAAAGAAGGAACTCTTACCATTTGCAACAGCATGGGTGGACCTGGAGAGTATCATGCTAAGTGAAATAAGCCAGTCGGAGAAAGATAAATATCATATGATCTCACTCATTTGTGGATTATAATGAATAACATAAACTGATGAACAAAAATAGAGTGGGGGGGGGAATATTCTAGAATATAATAGAAGTAATCTGTTATTTGCAGACTTTTAATATTTCCTACAACTTTTGTGGTATCATACCATGTTAGTACAGTTTTAGAATTATTATACTTAAAATCCTTTGATTCTTGAGATATTAATGTCTATTGCATATAATATTATATGTAAGATCATTTTTCTTGAGTAATTGGTGTTTATTGCATATAACATTATATTTAAAATTGTTTTTCTTGAGATATTAATGTTTATTGCATGTAACATTATATTTAAGATTATTTTTCTTGAAATATTAAGGTTTATTGCATGTAACATTTTTATATTTAAAATCATTTTTCTTGAAATAAAAAACTGAAAAACAAATTCCTAAGTTCACTTAAGTTACATTTACAATGGCACATTTTAAAAGAAATTATATTTACCTCTAAGTGTTAAAAACACAATTATTTAAAATTGAGATAAATGTATAAAATTCTGTAATTAAAATAGTCAAGCCTATTATGGTGTAAAGTTTTATTACCCCATTTATTTAACTACAAAAAAGTAAATTTCCTTTTTCTTAAAAAAAATGAACTATCAATAAGATATTCTTACATAGCTTCTAAAACTGGTCTCTAATATGTCTATATTAATTTAAAGTACTCTTACCTTTCTTCTGAGCTATACAATCGAGCGAGTCCAAAATCTGCAAGTTTTATCTGCCCTCTGGTGGAAGTAAAACAAAATGAATAAAAGGTATTATTCTACTTTGAAGTGGTCATACAAAATCATGTTCTTAGAACTAATAAAAGATATGTAAACTTTAACTTTGATCACACTGCAGTACTGAAGGTACTATAGGTATAGGAAAGTAGATAAACTCAGGATAAAATAAGGTAAAAAATTTTTCTTTGGAGGAAGTTCAGCTAATACCATAATACTAGTACTATTTTTATTATTATTGCTATTATTACAGTATTACCAGTATAACAGTATTTCAGCACTATTTAGTTGCTATTTAGAAAAGTACACTTCAAAGAAAATAACACAAAATGAGGCAATTTCTACTACTTAGTAATAAGACAAATTACTTGCTCAAGTCAATAATGTTCAAGATCTAAATCACAATGTTTTAAATTTAAATTGATTTTCCTGTTCTTAGAGGGGCAAGGTGCCTGGAACACTTTATACTAACCCAAATCAGGACCAGACATGCTTCACTTAAACTAACAAATAATACCAATTACAACAGACTTATCAGGAGTTCAGGTTATGCTGCCAGTAAAATATTCAAAACAAGCTTTGCGTGTGTGTATGTGCGTGTGTGTGTGTATGCACTTCAAAAAGGCCACTTTAAAACTTTGATATTTGTATTCATCAAATATTTATATTCTCGGTAAAGCTTCCAGTCAACAGGAGGTTATTAGTAAAGTATTTGGAATCAAGAATTATATGCAAATTTTCAAATGTGTTGGGAGGATGAAGAGGAGGTTGGCACCCTAGCCCCCCACCCCCACCCCGCCCCCAGTTGTTCAAGAGTCAACTATAATCTAAATTAAAAATCCTTTAAACAAAATCAAAGTATACATTATATAACACTCACTTTGAACATATATATCAAAGTTATATCATACCTATTATTTAGAAGAATATTTGAACATTTAATATCCCTATGCAAAAAGTTCTTCTTATGACAATAATCCAGACCTTCCATGAGCTGTCTCATAAATGACTTTATGTGATTTTCATTAAAATGAACCAAGCCTGATTCCAGTAGTCCCATCAGATCATGGTCCATATATTCAAATACCAGATAAAATGCACCTAAGAACAAGAACAATTAAAACATTAAAGATTTTTATTCTTACAACTTTTCTATAGGTTCAAAATTTTTTTAAAATTCTACGGTGAAAACTAATCCTTTCCTTGAAAAGAAGTGTTACTTTATCACTTTGATAATGTTCATCTTTCTCTCTGAGTTTACTATCAATAAATACATCCCAAGGACACATTTAACCCAGTTTTTGTCTCGTAAACAAAACTCTTATTATATAATCAACCCTGTTGATTTTCACATAGCACAGTTTCTGGGTATAATTAATGTAAAATAAATTCTTAACTGTTTTACATATCGAACAAATTGTCTCTTAGTGAAAAGGGAATAAAATCAGTACAGCTCATTAAAGAAAATTTGAAGGTGCCAAAGAGTTGTTTTTAATTTAAAAAAAAATCTGAGCTCAGTTGGACTTTAGATGAATCCATTTAAGCCTTCTACATATAATTTCATTCTATCTATACAGCTCCAGAGCATTTGAAAGCATACAAATTACAGCTTTATATTATAAAGCCAGCTTAATCCTACCAAAACATAACATAGCACATACACAACTGTACTTATAAGATTCAAAAATCCTAAGTGAAACTTGCATAAATTGAATCCAAAGCTGTATCAAAAAAATATCCCAATCAAGTACAGTTTAATTTAGCAATTCAAGAATGAAAAAGCTGATAAAATTCAATACATCTATTTGTCAAAGGAAAAAATATCAATATGTCAAAAAAAGGCATCTGAAGAAAGTTCACAGTTTCTAATTAAAAACAAAGCAAAGATCTCATAGTAAACTTACTGTCTAAAAATCCGAAAGAATAAAAAGAGAGTTACAGAAAATCATATAAAAAAGCAAAGGACTTCATATATGCCAGCAACAATTCATTAGAAAATAAAATTTAAATGACTCCACAATTGAAAAAATTATATTACAAATTACTAGGAATAAATTTTAATAAGAATTAAACAAAAACCAGAGTACCAGCCAAAATGTTTCTGGTGATAAACATTTACTGTACCAGAAATTAATATGACCTACCATACTACTAGGACAGACAGAACAGTGTAATATACATACACCAGAAAACAAACACCAAATACAAAGGGTGTTCCAAAAAAATGTATACATACAACTTTGAATAATTATAAAAGCAATGTTTATTAAAATACATTTCATTTTCAAAACTGAGCTATTAGCTGTTAAAGTGTGTATACATTTTTTGAGAATACCCTGTATATCTAATAATTACTAAAACATTTTAAGTCAGTGAACAAAAATAGAAATTCCAAGATAAAATCAAAAGGATATGCTAGAAACCAAAAACAGCATAATACAAGTAAAGCATGCCTTTGACAGGCTCATCAGTTTGAAGGATATGGCCTAGCAAAGAATAAGTGAGTTTGAAGATAGGTCAATAGAAATTTTCAAAACAAAAGTGCAAAGAAAAAGACAGAATATCCCCAAAATGTGGACAATTACAAAAAGTGTTAACATATGTGTAATGGGAATACACGAAACAACAGAAAAAGAGAGAACGGAAAACAAGAAATATGTAAAATAAAAATGACTGAAATTTCCCCAAATTAATAAAATATATGAAAACCACAGATCCAGGAAACTAGGGAGGACATCAAGGGGAATAGCAAAACTGCTGAGAATCAAAGACAAAAAAAGAAAACCTTGACAGAAGCCAGAGGGAAAAAACATCTTACCTATAACCGCATTCAAGGATAAAAATTATAACTGATTTATCTTAAGAAACGTTGAATAAAAAAAGAGTGGAATGAAATATTTAAAGTGTTGAAAGAAAAATCCACCAACCTAAAATCCCCTATTCCATATCCAGCAAAATTATTCTTCAGAAGTGACAGAGAAATAAGAACATTCTCAAAAAAAAAAAGGAAGAAATTTGTCATCAGTAGATCTGCTTTGCCAAAGGCCAAAAAAATCTTCAGAAAGAAGGAAAATGATACAGGAAAGGAACTCAGATCCACAAAAAGGAAGGAAAAACATTAGAAAATAATAAAGGTAAAATAAAATATTTATTTTTCTTATTAATTGATCTGTTTGTTCAAAATAACAGCAATGGTTTCTGTAACTAGCTTGTGAAAGAATAATAATAATGTTATAACAAATGGGAGCAAGGAACTGGGAATACTCTGTTATGAGGTACCTATACTACCTATAAAGTAGTATAATGTTATTTTAAAAATTATAAATGTATTCTGTGAACATAAGCACAACTACTATAGATAATTTAAAAAAAAATAAGCATTGTTGATATGCTAAAGAAAGGGAGGAAAAAATTGAATCATATGAAAAGCTTAATGAAGGCCAGGGAAGGCAGAAAAAGAGGGGGGGTAGACAACAAATAGAAAAATAACAAATATGGACGATATTAATCTAACTATATCAATAATCACCTTCCATACCAAAGATCTAAATATATCAATTAAAACATAGAGATTGGTAAAGTGGATAAGAAAAATAAGACCCAACTAGATATTTCCTATATACACTTTAAATATAAATAGAGCCTTGCAGCGGTTGCCAACTGGTGGTCCATGAGCTCCGAAAGGTTGGCGACCGCTGGAGAACATTCTCCCATACACCAAAAGGTTATGGGTTTGATTCTCAGTCAGGACATACACCTAGATTGTGGGTTCAATCCCTGGTCACAGTGTGTAGAAGTGGCAACCGATCCATGTTTCTCTCTCACCTCAACTCACCACCCCCTCCCTCTCTCCCTCTCTTCTCTCTCTCCCCCGTCCCCCCTTAAAAATCCTCTTTCTAAAAATCAATAAAAACATATCCTTGGGCAAGCATTAAAAAATAGAGAGAAATAGACAAAGATTAAAATTAAAGAACAGAGGAAGCTATGCCATACTATCACTAATCAAAAGAAAGCGGGAGTAATTTATTAATTTCAGACAGACCAGATTTAAGAGCAAGGAAAGTTATCAGGAATAAAGGGGTCAATTCTCCAAGAACATATAATAACCTTTACTGTGTTCACTCCTTACAAAAGGCTGCCAAAATACATCAGAAAAAAAAACTGAAAGAATTACACTGGTTAATAAATATTACATCTATATTGTACTTCATCCAACAATAACAAAATACACATTCTTCTCATATTCACATGAACCATTCACCAATACAGAGCATACTCAGGACCATGAAACACACCTAAACAAATTTAAAAGAAACCATACAAAGTATGCCAATGAAATAAAACTAAAAATCAGTAACAAGAAGATAGCTGAAAACCAAAAGCACTCAGAGTTTAAAAAAATAAAAAACTTTAAAATAACACCTGAGTTAAAGATGAAGTCTAAAAAGAAGCTTTAAAATATTTTGAAGTAAATTAAAATAAAAACAACTAAAATATGTGGGATACAGCAAAGCTATTCCTTAGAGATAAATTATAGCACTAAGTAAATGTATAGGAAAAGAAGATCTAGAATCAACAACCTAACTATCCACTTTAGGACTCTAGAGAAAGAGCAAATTAAATTTACAAGTAAGCGGAAAAGTAGAAATACAGTTACAACTTGGTTCTCGAACATCTCCCACCTTGAACAATTTGGTTCTCAACCAAGTTGTTCACAGAAAAAAATGTCTTGGTTATAGAACAAAACTTCAGTTTTCAACCAGACAACCCTTTCATGCTGATACCTCACCATAAAAAAAAAAAAAGCATCTCTCAGGAAACAAATGAGAAAATGCTTTTGTTGATGGCAAAATCAAGGATCAGCACCATTTATACTAATAAAAGAGTTAATATGCTTAGACCGGGAGACCTTCCGGACAAAGCCATGGTGGTGGAGCCAAGACAAGAGGCAGTTAAGGGCAAGCAGGCCGATGGGGGGGGTGGGGGGGGGCCACACAATTGCAATTGGGGGTGAGCAGGCCGGCAGGGAGGGCAGTTGGGAGTGAGCAGGCCGGTAGTGGGGGGCAGTTAGGAGCGATCAGGCAGTTGGGGGTGAGCAGGTTGGAAGGGGGGACAGCTGGGGGTGAGCAGGCTGGCAGGGGGAGCAGTTGGGGTCGAGCAAGCCAACACAGTTGGGAGCAAGAAGGCTGGCTGGGGGGGGGCAGTTGGGGGCGAGAAGGCCAGCAGGCAGAGTGGTCAGTGGCAATCAGGCAGGCAGGCGAGCTGTTAGGAGCCAGCGGTCCCGGATTGTGAGAGGGATGTCCGACTGTCAGCAGTCGGACATCCCCCAAGGGGTCCCAGATTGGAGAGGGTGCAGGCTGGGCTGAGGGAACCCCCTCCCCCGCATGAATTTCGTGCACCAGGCCACTAGTTTTAAAACATAAAGAAGCCATCAAGAGTGCTAATGTTGCTAAGGAGTGAAAAAAAGGATCACAGGAAACTGAAGAGGTAGAAAGATTGCTGGTGATTTGGATAAAGGAAAAGCAGTTTGAGAGTGACAGCCGTTTTGGAGGCAGGAAGATGCCGCATACAGACTTCCTGAAAGATACCTCTGGAACTAGTACTGAAAGTGATTCCTTTAAGGTTAGTAGAGGGTGGTTCGATAAATTTAAGAAAAGAAGTGTTTATTTCTATATTAAACAGTACATTAGACATGTACTGTATATAAGAAAGGTTAAAATGGAATTATTTGTGTGTCTAGAACAGATTAATTCAATTTATTTATTTCTTTTAAATCTTTATTGTTGAGAGTATTACAGATGTTCCCCCCTCATTCCCCCCCAGGGCCCACTGCCACCTTATTCCCGCCCCATCCCAGGCCAATTTACATTTCAAATAGGAAAAAATGATTCACTTTTCGAACAAATCACTTCTCAAACAGCCTTCAGAATGAAAAAAGTTCAAAACTGAGGTTTTGTAGTAATAAATATCAGAACTTAAATCAATGATATTGAAAATAGGAACTCAACAGAGGGGGAAAAATCAACAAAACTCAAAGCTGATTTTTTGCAAAGATCAATAAAACAGGTAAATCTTTAGCCAGGTTAAGGTGCTAATTACTA